GGAAAGTACATGGCCGCCGACCTCTTCGACATCGGCGGCATGCCCTCCGTTATGAAACTGCTCGTAGCAGCCAACCTACTCGACGGCAGCATCCCTACCGTGACAGGTAAAACTCTAGCCGAAAACATCGAATCCTACCCGTCCCTCCCCCAAGACCAAGTCCTCATCCGGCCCCTGTCCAACCCCATCAAACCCACCGGCCACATCGAGATCCTACGCGGTAACCTCGCGCCTTCGGGCGCCGTCGCAAAGATCACGGGTAAAGAAGGCCTCATCTTCACCGGCAAAGCGATAGTCTTCAACAAAGAGCACGAGCTCGACCGCGCCCTCAACCTAGGCCAAATCCCCCACGGCGAAAACGTCGTCGTAGTCGTCCGCTACGAAGGCCCCAAAGGCGGTCCTGGCATGCCTGAACAACTCAAAGCCTCGGCTGCCATCATGGGTGCTAAACTTACCAACGTGGCTCTCATCACTGATGGTCGCTACTCGGGTGCTTCTCATGGGTTTATCGTTGGCCATATCTGTCCTGAGGCTGCGGTTGGTGGGCCTATCGCGGTCGTGCAGAATGGCGATATGATCACGATTGATGCGGAGAAGAATCGTATCGATATGGATGTGCCACAGGAGGAGATTGATAGGCGGTTGAGGGAGTGGGTGGCGCCTAGTATGCCCGTCACGAGGGGTGTGCTAGCGAAGTATGCGAGGTTGGTGGGGGATGCGAGTCACGGGGCTATGACGGATCTGTTTTGAGGGGAGCATCAGGAGTATGCGGAGGAGTCTGGGTACAGAGTACTGCATATTGCAAAACATGACATTGGATTGGCATGTGCACGACAAGTTAACAGACCATATGCAATGTATGTTCTTGGACATGACATGGTCAAGGGCGCATGAACTTCAACGAGAAAGCGAGATCCTAGCAATGGCGGAATCACAGCACCAGGAACAATTTGCACGGATGTCGAAGTAGAGGGTATCATGTTGCTTTTGAGGCCCAAGCCCAGTGTCATTGGAAGTCCTAGGCTAAAAGCAGGCCCGACTCAATCATGTCTTTCAACGCCATAAGCCGTAAACCGTGGTAGATCCGTAATGCCGCCCCGCAATCAAATGCTAGACAGCTCTTTTACACATATTCCGCGTAGAAGGTGGTAATCTACTCGTCATCCTCCTCCTCCTCAGCCTCGAGAGTGGTTTGCGCAATACGGTCCAAGTCACGCTGGCCGGACTGTGTGATGCGGCGGCCACCCTTGTCCTCGTCCTGCTCGAGCACACCGATCTTCTCGAGAGCCTGCATGACCTTACGGTCGACGGAGCCGGAGGCGTCGACGTGGTGGGAGGGGCGCGAACCGCGGTTCTTGGTGGAGCCGTGGACCTTGCGGAGGCGGCCGACACCGACGGTCTTGCGCTGTGTGATTCGTCAGCATTCCGTCCCTTTATGTGTTCGTTGCGGTGGGCATTCTGCATACCATGTAGACGTGGCGGGCGACAGCGGCGGCGCGGACGTAGAACCAGTCAATGTCCTGGGGAGGAAGCTCGTTGGAGTCTGCGCATGTTAGCCGAAGTTTCTCGCATGAGTGGGGAGATATGATTCTTACGGCTTGTCTTGACAGTGTCAACCCAGCCTGTAGATAAGTGGTCAGCGAACTGAGGTTATCCCCCATTTACGGGATTCAGGCTTCATCCTTCACCCGCTGGATAGAGACGAACCTGGACTGCATTGTCGTTAGCATTTGACATCGTGTGGTTTTGCGCATAGCGCAAAGGTCAAACTTACATGGGAAGCTTTCCCTGACGCTTCAAGAAGGCGGCATAGGCGGCCACGAACTTGTGGGACTCGATGTCCTTGACGGAAACTCCGGGCATGATTGCGGTGTTGGTTTGGAATTGGGAGGTGGAGAGAGGCGGTTCCGTGGGCTTGTCGTTGAATGCTGCGGCGTTCGAAGATATCGCGAGAGCCAAATTCAGCGACCCACGGTGGCTCGCTTAGGAAAAATGGTCGGGCCGGCGCTAGTGGGGCGCTAAGTGGGGGGCGCGAACCATCACTCTTTCCAAGCCTGCAGCCTGCGAACATCGACACGCGAACATCGTCATTGCTCTATTGTGTAGTTGAATATTCGTTACAGGTGCTTCTTTGGCGCAGCTTGAAACCCGTCGGTGTCGCCGATTTCGAAACTGGGTGCGCCCAGAACTCAGACTATTGATACTGTAATACGGTCTCATCCGATGCTGGCACCGACTAGTCAATTGTTTGACCAGCAAAATGTTCGCAGGTCGATGGTGTTCTGGTACATTTACTTGATACATTGACTTTCTCGTTCTGCAGATGAAGCTATGTAAGGTATATCAGAAGATGCCGAAACCTGGAGCCAGCGCCGAGATGAGAGATACATCTTAGACAGGAGGAAACATGCTGGTGTGCTCGAGCAAATTGTCTCACTATCGTTGTCGAAATCATTGTACGACTTCAAGAGCACTTGCAAATTGTCTGAAAGAATCTTGACTTCATATTTATGTTGTGTTATTAATACTGATTTTACTTGAGTATTACCCCCATACAATCCGTCTACCACTTGCTGATATCAACAACGGTAACAGTAACTGAGTTGTTGCTAGCAGGAGGCAGCTCTCCACCACCCATAATCAACAACTTAGACTGGTTCTTGAGAACGCGAAGATGCCTAGTGTAAGAGGTTGCTTCGGGAGTAGCAACCTTGACCCAAGGGCCCTCTCCAAGACCCTTGTTAATGAACACCTCAGAGTTGCTGTGTGCGCTGGCAATGATGGTTCCGTTCTTGCCGCCAGCAGAGCTCCAGACAACGTATGGAGAACCAGTGGGGATGGTACCATCAGTCGACTTAAGGCTGATACCGGTGGCCTCGCCGAACTTCTCGGGGTCGGATACGATCTTGTAGTAGACGGGGAACTGGTATGAGGTGGTGATGGCAGGTCCGCCGCCGTACTCGTAGGTCATGATGTACTTTCCGTTGGGGAGCTTGGCGACTGTGGGCATACCAGGACGGTCGGTGTAGGTGGGGTAGGTGACGTCGTCAATGACTGCGCCCCAGGTCTTGAGGTCGGTGGTGGTCTGGTGAACCATCTTCTGGCCGTAGGTGGCGTTCTCGCGCTGGTCGGAGTAGTAGCAGATGAGAGTCTTCTTGTTCATCATCAGGAAAGGCTCCCAGACGGGAGTAAGGCCGTTGTTGGGACGAGCCTCTCCACCCTTAGCGATGGAGGAGACAAACTCCCAGGTCTTGCCGCTGTCCTTGGAGGCGTAGAGAACAATGTCGGTGGTCGAGAGATCGGTGGGGATAGAGGATCCAGAGATGAGGACGGTGCCGGCCTTGTAGCCACCAATCGCCTCAGGAAGTACGTAGAGGAATGGCTGGTAGCGCAGACCGAGGCCGTTCTTTGTGTCTTGCACACGCGAGAACTCCTTCCACGACTTTCCGCCATCGGTTGACTTGAAGATGGGGAAGTAGACCTTTGGTGGCTCGGGCGAGTAGTTCTCCCAGGTTGCGAGGAGCGAACCGTCAGCGAGCTGGGCACTGCGCGCATAAAGGACACCGGGGTCGGTCCAGTTGGCGTCCCTGGGTGGTGAGAAGATCACATTGCGCGAAAAGGTAGGCTGCTCTGCCTTCTTAGGGTGCGCAGAAACGCTCGTAGCGACGCTGATGAGCGACAGGAAGAGGGTAGAGAGACGCATCTTGAAGGCTTGAGAGATGTGCAAGATGAAGCCAAAATCGCAACCGGCATCAACAAAGTATATAAACAAATGCCAATGCAACTCTACCGGCCAGTCAACCGGGATCTACCATACTACCATGTGATCGATACTCTGTTCCCGGTCGGTGGTGCGAGGTAGTTCTCGGAGTCTGCCCGTTTAACGTCATGTCGCCCTGCCACACATGGCAAGCATCCTTGCTCTCCGCAAAAAACACGTCGTTCAATGGCGGGAATCTGGAGACCGCTCTCCGGAGTAATTGTGGGGAACAAGGATCTTCGTGTCTTGCGGGGAAAGCGGTAGTTTATACACCGAGCAAGCCTTAGCTAACTTAGCTAATGCCTAGTCATCGAATGTGCCGAGGCGCGGAGGAAGAACTCTGAACAGATTGGTCCGGAAGAATGACGAGGGCATGTGACGAGAGTCCCTCCGGAGCATCATGGCCAAGATCTTGGAAATCGGAGGTATGCCGAAGTCGTGTTGTGGTGGTGTATGTATATGTCGAGTTGGGGGCTGGAAGTGGGTGATGGGTGTGGCATGACGCACGGCATTGGCAGCGGGAAGGCGCGTCCACGGGTGCCATGGAACGCGACAGCTCGCTACCTCGAGCCACGAAGTCTATCTCAACATCATCGATGCGGACTGTGCATCCATCCAGCGATCATGCGATGCGCATCTCGTCTGGTACACGATTGGACAGGTTTGTTGAGTTCCGGCGGCGTGCCAGAGCGTAACGCGTAGGTTTGCACAGAAAGACGACACCGGCAACGCGTCTGGTGGCGAGAAGCAGGTACTACAATGTATCGAGGCTGCGCAATCGTACATCCACGCTTCAGCGGGTAAGGCAGAGTTAAGAAGACAGATAGAGATGAGGCAACCCACGCATGTGATGCTGGCTGCGTTCGGCTGATGAAGTTCGCCAATCAGCGGGCCGGCACGACAGCCTCGTTGATCGCTGTGCAGCAGTGGTGGCAGTGCAGGAACGACCGCAGCAGTCCTCTCCGGTTCGTCGAAACTACAGCTGACTGCAGCCTGGACCGGTCAAAACCAGCAAGATGTCGCCCCTCTCTGCGTCCCTCAGGCGGTTGTTCCTGCATCGCGGCGTGAACACTATGCGAACATGGTAAGTCTCTATGGCCCTCAGGCTTCGGGCAGGGCAACCCTTTGTCATCGCAAGGCTAAAGTGGGCATCTGACGGTTTTGGTGGCTGACCTTCGCATCGCGATAGGCTTCTTCAATCGCTTCTCCTGTGCCTTTGCGCTTCAATCAACAACACCCGATGAGCAATGATCCAAAGACGTCTGATGTGGGGCGCGAAACGCCTCTTCCACAATACGAAAAGACGCAATCGGTGCCGTTCACTCTGAATCTTCAGGAAGATACACGCAATCCTGGTCAATTCCAGCTCGTCTTCAACCTGGGCCCGAAACAACAATCGTCGATCGGTGTGCCTCTGAGTTGTGCACCTAATGTTGCCGCGTCTACGACTCTACGAGATGGCTTGAAGTCTAGTGTCGAGAGCTCAGTTCCTCAAAAGACGAGTCCGCCAAGCACTCCTCTCCACGACAGGCAAGGCTGGGCCGATCTAGACAATGTACCTACCGAATTTCTTAAAAGGGTCGTGCCAGACTGGAATGTGTCGTTTTCTCGTAGCGACTCAACAGCCTCTACTCAATCCAAACGACTTACGGACATCAAAGCTAGAATCAAGAAGAAAGGAAAGGGCTACGTCGTGCGCTTGCTGAAAGGGTCGACAGACTCGAACGAGATTGCAGAAATAGATCTGGGCCAGCATATCGCTGCGAATCAGACATTTGAGACTCCAGAGCTCGACTCAGCGACTCTGCCTGCGGAGTTGTATTCGCCACCTACGACTATTGCATCAATCTCCGATAGTCTTCTGGATCGCAATGATATCTTCGAGATCGGTACTTCCAACACATCAGGCGTTCAACGACCACCACCGTCTGCGGTTCCACAAAGGAGTCATCTGCCGCATCATAGTCTAGCCAGGACTTCGATCGCGGAGGACGGGTTCAGTGATGCCGAGACTCTGATACCAGACATTCGCTCGATACACGACCGTATGGATGAGGATCAGACTGATGTAGAACCGTCATCTCATGCCCCATCGCTGTTTCCCACCCGCTCGGCTTCGGTCTCAAGTATCGTCAAAACGCCAACACGCGGCCTGTCAGTCGTTGGACCTGTAAGGAAGCGTGTCGAGAAGAAGACACGTCCTCGGGTGAAGAGTCGTGCGACGAACCTGGATCTCAAGCGATCAGATGCTCACAAATCCGTCAAGCGTCGCGTAGTATCGACAAATCATGCATTCGATAGTCAAGTTGTAGAAAATCTCGTGAACTCGACTACTTTGCGCCAACGCATCCGTCCGGTATCTCGAAAGTCGAGTGGAATTGATCTAGCGACCGATGAGTATGCCACTTGGTCGCAACCGATGCGGCCTGCGAGCGCAGTCAAGCCACGACATCTACGACACGTATCAGCAGACGACCTAAATGTCCCTGCCAGACCCAAACATGGTTTACGGTTGGACACCGACCTACCTCAGACCAAGTCAGCTCATGTATCGCCAGTGACGCGCCGCAAGAGATCACCTAGAATACGGAAGCACACATCATCCTCTTCTTCGTCAATAGATACCGAGGACGCCAATGCACTGCTATCACCCCAGTCGGCAGGAGTGGGTGGCGCAGATGAGCTCCGTGAAGCGCTGAGAAGAGCGTTAGATCATATCGATTCGAAAAACGACAATCTTGTCGAGGATTTCGAAAGGCCTGCAGTGCCCACCATCGTTGAGCCGCCGATCGACGATCATGTTGGCGAGATACCGCTGCCTCCGGAAGCAGAAATACGGATTGCCTCTCCTCATGGTCGAAACACAACATTCAGGTACTGGGGTCTTGCATTGAGTGCGTTGTCAGACAAAGCCTATGAAGGTTTTCGATTGCTTCGTGATACATTCGGTACTGAACCACCCGTGCCGCAGGGGCATGTGCGGGTGCTATGGACTTGCGTCAGTAGTTCAGCATACTCTTTCTCTGGACCATGCTAACAAGATGTAGTCATGCGGTGAGCCATTGTATGACGACTTCATCGAACAGCGACCCAATGCTGCCCGCCTTCTTGAAGCTTATCTCAATCGCCCAAGAGCTCATACACCAAATAGCCCTACCAGCCAAAGCAACACCGCGTCATCGATGGCCTCCATCTTTGACTCGTCGAGCAGAGCGTCCACATTGACCACGCCGTCGTCGACATACGGCGGGCCTAACTCTTGGACTAGAGCCAGCGACCCTTCCAAGTATAGCCCGTCGCGTACCGTCGCCAGCAACCCCTTCAGTGTCCGTATGCCGTCCTTCGTCCAAGAATCCTGGCTCCTGACCTGTGCGAACGAAGGCCGCCTGACACCAAAGATCGTCCATCTCGATGTCAACGAAGGGCGCGTGAGAAGCGACAAAGATCTAGCGCTCGCGCTGCGAGAGCACTATGACCAGCTCAATCGGCGGTGGTTCAACTGGGCTCGTCTTCGCGGGCTAACGACCATCGAGTTTGTTCAATTCGAAGTCCATCGCAATCGCTTCGCTGATATTCGAGCGACGCCGTCTATGCCGCCCAAGTCCGCTGCTTCTTCAGCTTCGACCAGCGAGCCAGAGAAGTCTGCAGCGCCGTCTCAGCATCCGTACACCTTCGAGCCCAACGACCTCCTGCCGCCTGTTGGTAGCACGTATCTCCTCCATTTATTCAAACACCCACAGGACTATGAGGGCGAGCTGATTACGTATCTTCGCAGTCCAAAGCGGAGGCAGCGGTTGGAGTTCGGTATGGGCTGGGGCGTTCATCTCGTGGAGGGGTTCCTTGCGCAGCGCGTGTGGGCAGTGACGATGGGTGTTTGCGGCTTGGGTAGTGCGGTGTTCGCGATCCTGTGGACGGTCAGGAAGGGCGACGTACAGGGTGCCTTTGGGGTTGCGCAGTGGGTGTTGGGTATTGCTGTTTTGCTGGTTGGCGGTCTGCAGGCGTGGTTGGAGTAGCCGCTTACGTATACTTTTCAATCAACGCGTGCCATACCACAACAAGCTTTACAGGATACAAAGAGGACACAACCAGCGCAACAACAAGGTACAAAGGGCCGTAGGGTCTACATTGACGTCGTGGGTTGTAGATACTCAACCCCTATCGCTGTTGTATTCCTAAAACGAGAAAGTTACCCAGACCTTGACCAAAAAGAGAGCCAATGTAGACATGAACAGGAACGTCTACAGAGGCAAAAAGAAATGATAGCTTCTCAAGGGATCGAACCTTGATCTACACAAGTGGGGCGCGTCACGATGGCATTCCAAGCAGGTCCGAAGTTACCTTCAATACACACACATACTATACAAATGACCTTGACGGAGAACCTGTCGGTCTGTGTCGTCATACCATTAGACCAAGAATCCTGGTGTGTTTTGATGGAGGAAGAACCGGCTCCATAATACATATAGAATTATCAGAGTTGTGTGGAAACTGAAGACAACGTCGGCAAAAAAAAAAGCACTGTCCTTTACCCCAAACAAGCCGGCAACGAAAATCACAATCGGAGCGGCACACCCACGCAAACGCTCTTGCCCTCCACCTTACCTTACGTACGTACTTAAACCTAGCAAAAAAAGATGATATACTTGGTCTCTGCTAGAGTCGAACTAGCGTTTATCACATACACACTGTGGAATCACGCCTATCGACAGCCCCACGGCCCGACAGAGGTGCCAGAATCAACTGACACCCGCATGAAACCACAGGAGATTGTAAGTGATCGTCTTACCACTGGACTAAGAGACCTGAGTTGGGTTGTTTCGATAGAAGAAGGAGAGTTTACGCGGTATATATGGGATGGTGAGGGTGACATCACCTCCCAGCTGACGCGAGAGCAGTACCATGAGTGATCGGGGAAGTACTTGAGTGGTTCTGCAGTTACGGTAGATTTGTGATGAGGGTGCCTGGAGGTACACGCGGAGCTGTCATGCTGGCTGCTCAGCGCAGTGTTTTGGTGTTCTGAGATTGCTTTGAGATATGCGTGACATCATCACCTCGGGAACAACGAGATAATGGCTCCCCCAAGAGATCGTTGAAGGGCGCTACATCAACAGATGATTCAGAACAACCTAGCCTGACGTCCGTATGAAGTTCTGCTGAGGGAAATTGGCATGTGGAAGGTGGAGGCAAAGCAGTCCTCACAGCAATTAAAACATGAAAGAACGAGTGGAAAGACGCCAAACAGCTTCAGACAGAGTGACAGTATGAGATGGATTGAGAGACACGCACTGTGGTAGGCAAGACGGCAGGACAGATCCGTCACACCAACCTGCTGTGGATGTTCACCACGAGCTACGTTTGAGACATAGAGAAGAAGAAACAGCCTCAGGCCCACACCATATACATCGACAGCCTAAAAGGCAGAACGGTTAAACACAGAGGTTGAAAGATGTTAAAGTCGACGGCGCCGCGCCTGACATGCAGTTGCACCGCCAGCCGTCCAAGAAGCGCCGCCCCCGAATACCCGACTTGATTAATATCGACGACGATGTCGTCAAACACGCCTGCCTCGATCTAGGCGCATCTCCGCTCACTACCATTGGGGGCAATATTGGCCGTTTCACGTCTGAAACCAGGCTGCACACGCGAAGTCCGGTGGTGGGCCCCAAGGATCGGTTACGCTGTCAGGGGTGCATAACGGTTGCGCGCGCGACGTTGACGAGTCGACAACATCGGTGTGGATATTGTGCAGGATCGAAGGAAGCTTGGTGTTGCATGCGACAAATTTGGTCGGTAGGAGTGTCTTGGAGTTTGGATGACATGATGAGGTCACGGCAGCTGGGTTCGGCAACCGGACCGTCTTACTGACGTACCTTTCAAGCCCGCCATGGAGGGCATGAACATCAACCCTACCGTTCATCAACACTACATCTACCAACCCAGCACGATCGGATCTAGACATCTGACAGGCGCCACAAAATGCGGCGCTCTCGGCACCTCGTTTGACAGAAACAACTAAGCTCTTGGCGGCGTCTACTATGCAAGGGCGGATCCAGGAACACGCGGGATGCACGTTTCGCGCGGCCCCGCTGCACGTTGTCGCTCGAACCCGAAACCACAACAACGCCGACCGGAACGATTCATGACGACGAATACGCTGCGTACGATGCATACCGGAGACCGAGAACTGGATTGTGGCAGGGCGCAGTGATTCTGGAACTGGTCCGTAGCCGTGGGATGGCTCTTGGCTGCAGGCAGGAAACGGCCTGCGCATCCTGACAATGTCGCTTGTCTCTCCGCAACAGGAAACATGGCGATTCAAACAACGCGGGATGCATATTCCTGCGCGCCCAGCATGAACCCACCATTCTGGGCTCTCATTTTGCGAGTCGCCCAGGATGTGGGTCAATGGATGCCGAGCATTTGAAGGAGCAGAGACTGAACTGAATAAATAGGGCACCTGGTACCTCACTCCAAGCACCATCGCTACAGCTTCAATCTTCGGTTCTATACCAGTCCCTTCTTTTCAACCCACATTCGTTCATCAAGTCCTTCACTGTGTGAAGCCGGCAGACACTCTTTCAACAACTTGCGAACTTTCGTCTCTATCGAACCTACCAACTCCATTCTTTCGAAGAACTCCATCTACATCAGTCAACATGTACAAGACCGTTACCTCCCTCAGCGCCATCGCGGCTCTCGCTGCCACCGCCACTGCCCACGGCATTGTCAACGGCGTCACCATCGACGGTGTCTTCCAGCAGGGCTTCAGCCTCGACTACTACTACGCCAAGCAGAACGGCGGTCAGGTGCCAGAGCACATTGGCTGGTACGCCGAGAACCTCGACAACGGCTTCGTCGAGCCCAACTCCTTCGGTGATGCCGACATCATCTGCCACAAGGCCGCCAGCCCCGAGGGCAGCTCCGACAGCATGGCCAAGGTCGCCGCTGGAGGTACCGTTGAGTTCCACTGGAGCACCTGGCCCGAGAGCCACGTCGGCCCTGTCATCACCTACGTCGCTCCCTACACTGGCGACGTTACCGCCGTCAAGAAGGAGGAGCTCAAGTGGACCAAGATCGACGGTGTTGGCTACGAGAACGGCGAGTGGGCTGCCGTCAAGATGATTGGCCAGAACAACACCTGGCCCGTCACTGTCCCCGAGAGTCTTGCCGCTGGCAAGTACGTCTTCCGCCACGAGATCATCGCCCTCCACGGCGGTGGTGACGCCAACGGCGCCCAGAACTACCCTCAATGTAAGCATACCCCGCCAGTCACATGAAGAACCAATCACTAATTGAATCTCCAGGCTTGAACATCGAGGTCACTGGCTCTGGAACCGAGACCCCAGAGGGTGTTATCGGCACTGAGCTCTACACTGCCACCGACCCCGGTATCCTCTTCAGCCCCTACGGCGCCAACATCGACTACACCGTCCCCGGCCCTCCTCTCTTCGGCTCCGGCGGCTCTGGCTCTGCTCCCAGCAACGGCACCACCCCCACCAAGCCTAGCACTCCTTCCATTGCTCCCAGCGCCAGCAGCAGCCCCTCTGCACCCGCCGCCAGCCCTTCCACCCCCGCTGCTTCCGCCAGCCCCATCGCTACCCCCGAGGCCGAGCCTTCTACTGCTCCTTCCGCCACTCCCTCCGCTGCTCCTTCCACCGGCGGTGACGCCCTTCCCGAGAGCTTCACCATCGACACCTTCATCACCTGGTTGGAGGGCAAGGCCAGCGGCTCTGCCTCCAAGGCTCGCCGCCACGCTCGCTCTTTCTTGTAAGCGTTGGGCAAACACGCTGGGGATGATATGATTTGATGGATACCCTTCTTCTGAGAGAGATAACCTTTTGATGGTTCGTTCGTTGGATACGACGACTGTTTCGCTTCTTTTGTGTATATACACCCGTTTCTTGTAGCATAGCGCTTTGGTTATTTAACCAATGTTTACACTTCTATTGATCTACTTGAGTGCGCGTGATGTCGATTGACCTTGTGCTTGCCTGTGATATCTGATAGACTCTGTAGTATCCCGAATGAGCCTTGCCCAATTTCTCCAAGCGCACGCGAGCATGGGAGTCAAGCAGGTCCAGCGTCCCAGTGTATGCACCCAGCAACTCCTGCATCCCTGCCCGCATGCTGGTATATTCCTTGTCTGCCGATCTTGCGCACTTCAACGGCAACTTTTGAGTCGTTCAAACGGTGGGTGTCTCGCGCGGGGTTAAGAACGGTTGGCAGCGTATACATCGGGAACGTGTTCGTCTCACTTCGAAGTGGCAGAGCGGATTGCGGCGATGATGGGGGAGAGTATGCTCGTAGCACAGTACCCTGGTAGTCAAAAGTCAGCGTGTAAAGGCATGGAGCGCGTGGACGGACGTACGTAGCGTGCTTGGTGATAGCCTGGATGGTCGAGACGTCTTGCACTGCGGCGAAGTCCACGTCTAGCTTCTCATTGATCAGTGAGTGGCCACGCTAAGGACCACGAGAGCTCTTCGGTTGTTGTCGCGGCGGTTGTCGTGCTCGTTCTCCAGAGGTAAGTCACAGTTGTCCTGCTGTCCATCATCCGACTGCGCTGGTCTCGTTGAGCTTCCCGCTTGAAGAGCCTGAGCATAACGAACTGCGGGCCCAGAAGCTGATTGGACAATGGTATCCGGCTCACACGATGCGTGTCGCGGGGTTCAATGGAAGCGTAGAGAGTGCTGGGAGTCGCAACATAGGCGCAAAAAGAGCAGCATATCGACCGTGAAAGCGCACTGCCTGATCGCAGTGATATGCTGGAATGTCAAAACAAAGAGAGATTCATAGGGAGGATGACATGGATGATAGCACAGTCACAGTAGCAAGAAGTCAGAGGAGTGAGGACATATATCATGGGCATAGCATCAAATCAAAGATAGAATAAGGTCAAATAAAGTCAAATCAAGTCAAAATAAGGGAAATCAAAGCACACTGAAGTCACAACAACAACAAATTCGAAAGTCACAGTCACAAAAGCCTTCCTCAAGGCAGTGCATAAAGCACTGCA